GGAGTCCCTTCTTCTTCCGAGCTACCCAAAATGACTCAACTCAGGTGAAAGCCATAAGTGCATTAGTTCAAGCCTTTGGATGGAGAGAAGCAGTACCCATCTACATTGACAATGAATATGGAGAGGGAGTGATACCTTATTTAACTGATGCTCTGCAAGCAGTTGATGCTCGTGTACCGTACCGGAGTGTCATTTCTCCATCAGCCACTGATGATCAAATTGTTTCAGAGCTTTACAAGTTGATGACAATGCAAACTAGAGTTTTCATTGTGCACATGTTTCCATCTCTTGGCTCTCGGGTTTTTGCCAAAGCAAAAGAGATTGGCATGGTGAGTGAAGGCTATGTTTGGATCATGACTGATGGTCTAACAGCTGCATTTTCGAGTTCACCAAATGCTTCTGTCACTAGTACAATGCAAGGTACATTGGGTGTGAAACCTTATGTGCCAAGAACAAAAGATCTCGAAACTTTTCGAATTCTGTGGAAAAGAAAATTCCAACAAGATAATCCAGATATTGTTGATGCTGAATTGAATATTTTTGGCTTATGGGCATATGATGCAGCAACAGCTTTGGCCTTGGCAGTTGAGAAAGCTGGAACTGCAAATTTAGGCTTCCAAAAGGCAAACGATTCTAGCAATTCATCCACAGATCTTGCAACTCTTGGGGTGTCTTTAAACGGTCCAAACCTCGTTCAAGCTTTATCAAACATTACTTTCAAAGGTCTTACAGGAGATTACCTTTTCGATAATGGACAGTTACAGTCATCAGCTTTCCAGATAATAAATGTGAATGGCAATGGGGGAAGAGAGATAGGATTCTGGACATCAACCAAAGGGATTGTCAAAACATTGAACTCAGCAAATAATATGACTGCGTCCTCAGGTTCTAACTCCGATCTTTCAACTATCATTTGGCCGGGTGATACAACTTCTGTTCCCAAGGGTTGGGAGATCCCAACGAATGGGAAGAAGTTGAGAATAGGAGTGCCTGTGAAGAATGGTTTCAGTGAGTTTGTGAAAGTAACAAGAGATCCTAGTTCTAACACCAAAACCGTCACTGGCTACAGCATAGATGTTTTTGATTCTGTTGTCAAAGCATTGCCTTATGCTTTGCCTTACGAGTACATCCCCTTTGCCAAGCCTGACGGCGAGACAGCTGGAACTTACAATGATCTGATATATCAAGTGTACTTGAAGGTAAAACTTTCACCAACCTTTTCCTATACTTGATCACATTCAGTTTTATATCTGAAACAAGATTTGAGACACATTCATGCATGCAAATCTAATTTTTATTGATATGTTGTTTCTTTTGCTTGCTATCAACAGAATTTTGATGCTGTAGTTGGAGATACAACTATTGTTTTCAACAGATCCCAGTATGTTGATTTTACTTTGCCTTACACTGAAAGTGGTGTCTCCATGATCGTCCCTATTGTGGACAGCAACAGCAAAAATGCATGGGTTTTCTTGAGGCCTCTGACATGGGATCTCTGGGTGACAAGTTTTTGTTTTTTTATTTTCATTGGATTTGTGATCTGGGTTCTTGAACACAGAATCAATGAAGATTTTAGAGGGCCTGCTTTACATCAAGCCGGCACTAGCTTCTGGTTTTCTTTCTCAACCATGGTTTTTGCACAAAGTAATTTTCTTTTCCCTTTCACTTTTGAAATTTTTCTTCTTTTGTTTACCATATTTGTTTTAGTGTCTCAAACACCAAATTGACTTCATCTGTATTTTTTTCAACTATGATTGCAGGGGAGATAGTTGTTAGCAACTTGTCTAGAGCAGTGGTAATCATATGGTGTTTTGTTGTGCTGATTCTCACACAAAGCTACACCGCCAGTCTAACAAGTTTACTCACAGTCCAGCAGCTGCGGCCTACAGTTACTGATGTACATGAGCTCATTAAGAAGGGGGCGTATGTAGGCTACCAGGAGGGTTCTTTTGTTCTGGGAATCCTATTAGACTTGGGTTTCGACGAGTCCAAGCTCATTGTGTATAATTCCACAGAACAATGTGATGACTTTTTATCAAAAGGAAGTGGAAATGGTGGTATTGCTGCTGCTTTTGATGAAGTACCATATATGAGGCTCTTTCTGTCAAACTATTGCTCTAAATATGCCATGATTGATCCTACATTTAAAACAGACGGTTTCGGATTTGTAAGTTCATTCACCCCTCTCCATTTCTCTTTATGTATTGTAAGTGCAAAGCTTGTCAACCCTGATAAAGACTGGCTTGCTGCTTTGTATTGTGATTTTCAGGCTTTCCCTAAAGGTTCTCCTCTGGTCCCAGATGTATCAAGGGCAGTTCTAAACATGACAGAGGGAGATAAAATGAAGGAAATTGAGAATGCTTGGTTTGGAAACCAAAGCAATTGTCCAGATTCCAGCACCTCGGTTACATCTAACAGCCTTAGTCTCAAGAGTTTCTGGGGCTTATTTTTAATTGCTGGAGTAGCATCCCTCTTAGCTCTCATCATATTCGTGTTCATGTTTGTCTACAAAGAACGGAAAATGTCGAGGCTTTTAAATTCCAGAATTTCCATAAGGAATAAAGTCGGCAATTTCTTCAGGATTTTCATTCAGAGGGACTTAAAATCCCATACTTTCAGAAAATGTGGGCTGAATGACAGCAAAGGCACTAGTCTGCCTAGTATGGGCCCATCGGCCTCTTCAGTTCAAACTACTTATTTCCCTGGAGATGGAGATCAGTCTTCTACAGAGCTTGTTGATTACCGTCCAGATAGGCAAACATCTCAAGAGGTAGTAATAAATATTGATCAACTTACAAACCCATATCAAGAAAGACTAGCAGCTTTTGAAGTAGAACATGATCACAATTGACTTTCAGATGATAACATTGACAGTTTGACTCTGGGAAACTTATAAACCTGTAGATGTAGTTGTAGCATTGTAATATAATTGGAGGCCATCAGAGGCCTGGCAATTCATGGGAAAGTCCAAAGGAACATGCAGGAGGCAATACTATAGAATATATATTGCTCTGTTTGATTTCCTCGTTTGTGACGCTCGAACTTCAAATTATAAATATTGAATTACTATATATAACATATTTATAGCTAGGTAGGATTAAACTGAGCTTCAGAATTAGTAAATTATTATCACAAATTATAGATTTTCTTCAGCAATTTCCCAAGATATTGTCGGAATGCAAGCAGTTGCATACCTTGTTTGCGGCAACATAAATTCCAGAGAATTTCCAGAGAAATTATGTTATGAAAACGAAAACAAAAGCATTATCCAAAATTAAGTTACCGTGTTTTAAAGAAACCCCCCTCATATTTCCAACCATCTTCAAGTTTTTGTCAGGATTTTTATCAAATTGTTTGGAAACAAGTTAAAGGATGAAGAAAAGGTACCCTTCAAAGCATGCTCTGATCTTCTTGTTCCTTTCTTTAAAGATATTGTTCATGGAAATGGGGTTGGCCCAAAACTCAACAGCATATGTTGGAGTGAACGTTGGTGTGGTTCTAGACTTGGAATGTTTTGATGTCACTATTGCTTTGAGTTGCATTAATATGACCCTCTCAGACTTCTAAATGCCACTCACGGTGACTAAAAAACCAGGATGATCCTCACCACTAGGGACTCCAAGAGAGATGTTGTCAGAGCAGCTGCCGCATGTTCTTGTCTTAGCAACCTAATCTTTTTTTACTGACTCCCAAATCAAGAATTGAAGGCTTGTATCAACTGAAGTGCCACAACAGATCGGCCTAGGAATTTCCAGCGGAGACCATGAGAGAGAAGGGGGAGACATCAGTTTTTGGGGGTTGTCAGAGGGATGGTCTGAGGTAACCGTTAGTATGCCACTGGGGTTTCGATGATGGGTCTGTGGGTAAGTAAAAAAGAGATGCATAACAGTGGTCATATATTCGGAGGCGACTTTCCTCCACTCAGCTGCCAGCGGTTCTTCTTTTTTGGGTGAGAATGGGGTTGCAATTTCTGTTTTTTGTTGCTTGTGATGAGAGGGAAGTTTGGATCTGTTGCGGGTTTCCTATAATCTGTTAGTGAGGGACAAAAGAGAGGCAATACAGGGTTATTTCACAGCGTCAAGGAAAGTGGCACGACCGGGTTTTCACGGTTCTGCTGCTAGTACCGGTGAGGGGATCTGGTGTTTGAATTTGGGAAGTGATCGGATAGTTTGTGGGCTGTCTGTCGGTTTGAAAGGAGGAAGAAGGGGACAGAGCATCTATGGGTTATCAGCTGGGGTTTGGCGTTGGCTTTATGGTGCGGAGGAAGAGTGTGGCATGGCTGGAGGATCTGGCGCTACTGGTTCTCCTCTGGGGGAGGGTGGAGTGGGAAAGGGTATATATGTAATTTAATTTTTAAGGTTGTCTTACTGGTTAGGTGAAGAGTCAAGGAATTTTTTGTTTTCATTTTTTTTTATGGGACTGTGGTTGATAGCTATTTTTTATTAAAACATTTTGTAATTCTTGGAATTACATTAACTATTTTTTATTTAAGGATATATTAAATAATATTTTTTTTATTTTTTAAAATTTATTTTTTATATTAATACATTAAAATAATTTAAAAATAAAGTTTTAAAAATAAGGTGTAGTGTGAAAACAAACATTGACTTGGTCTAGGAATGGTCCTTCGTCGCTGTTCCATGTGCTTTTAGTAAGTCTTAATTCTTAGCTGGCTCTAGTTTGGGGGTGCCGAAATGACAGATTTGTTAAAATTTATTTTTTAAAATTATCGTTTTAATATTAAAAGTTAATTTTAAAAAATAAAAAATATGTTATTTTAATATATTTCTATAAAAAAATAAAATTAACTTAATACTTTTTTAATCATAAATAAATAACACAAATTCAATTATTATTCTAAAAAAAAAACAAGTCTGCTAAACTCTGGAAGATTCCTTTTTATCAATGTACAATATTGTCTGGCCTCAGGTCCACGTCTTGTAGTGAACAATTTATTAAAATGGTTTGCTTCGACTCTTCCAAATCATGAATATCCTAGCAGTGAGGAAACTACACTTTTTAAGGTCCACAGCTTTATAAATAAGGGATCTTTCCTTCAAAGCTTAAATAAAAAATATTAGCTAAGCCAGAGTCAGCACGACCATAGGTGGAAAATAAGATGAAGAAAAACCATTCAAAGGCTGTTCTCTCCTTTTTTTGTGTAACGATTTTGTTCACAGCAATGGGAATGGCTGAAAACAAATTTATCCCAGTGAATGTTGGTGTGGTTCTTGATCTGGACAGTGATTTAGATGGCAGAATTGCGTTGAGCTGCATCGAAATGGCCCTCTCAGACTTTTATGCCACTCATGGTGACTACAAAACCAGACTAGTCCTCAACACCAGGGACTCCATGAAAGCTGTTGTTGGAGCAGCTGCAGCAGGTTCCCTCTCTCACTCTTACCCTTTAAAACTTGATGTTATCATCAGTATGCTCCAATCATGAATTACCATACTTCTTATTACGTAGCAAATAATCAAGATCTTTTCAGCAAATTGCATGGAGTGCTATTGTAAGCAAACTACAAGTAAGTGCAAAGCTAAGTTAGGATAATTCTAGGAAAGTCAGAGAAAGACTTCTAGTCCACAATTCAAAGTACTCTAGAATTGTTATAGGAAAGGCAAAATTTTCAGCAAATTGTATGGTGTGCTATAGTAAACTTTGTCTAGATTGTTACATTTAGGTCGGTTAAGAAGGCTATAAATAGCCACGCAACCATCATTTATAAACCAAGCCAAAATAACTATGGTAATCTTAAAATCCAAGTCTTAAAACTCTCCTCTGCTGCCTAGTATGTTGTAATTTCTATTGACGAAGTTTTGCTTTGGTTGTCCCACATTCTTCAAGCATTTCCAAATAATCCAAACTATAAACTAAGTACTTTGACCAAACCACAACAACTAAACATCTTAACTATCAAACTATTTTCATTTCAATCCTTAATCATTAACGCCTTTAAACTACCTCCTAAACTACCATATCATCTTCTAACAATTTTCGGTTTTCATGTGTTTTCTTGATTTGTGGTGAGGGGGGCAGAGGAAAAGATAATAGCTTACAGATCCAAAGACATAACTGTAAATCGACTAGACTCAAACCACCATTTTTTATAATTGAAACTGAGTTCTTAAGAAAGTTTGATAATTGCACGGTCTTTCTCTGCTGCAAAACTGCCATTTTGTCATTGGTTTTCCCCATTGATCTCCATTGATTGTGAAAGTTTATTGCATGTTCTTAATTTTTCTTATGCTCTATCAAAACACAGGCCTGGACTTGATAAGAAATGTGGAAGTCCAAGCAATCTTAGGGCCAACAAAATCAATGCAAGCCAACTTTGTTATTGACCTTGGAGAAAAAGCTCGGGTGCCCATAATGTCGTTTTCGGCAACAAGTCCTTCTCTTGCTTCCATTAGGAGCACCTATTTTTTTCAAGCTACACTTAATGACTCAACTCAAGTGAATGCCATAAGTGCATTGGTTCAAGCCTTCAAATGGAGAGAAGCAGTACCCATCTACGTGGACAACGTATATGGAGAGGGAATCATACCTTATTTAATTGACGCTTGGCGAGCAGTGGATGCTCGTGTCCCCTCCGGGAGTGCAATTCCCCCACCAGCCACTGACGAAGAAATTGTTGAGGAGCTTTATAAGCTGATGGGAATGCAAACTAGAGATTTCATTGTGCACATGTATGGCTCTCTTGGCACTAGGCTTTTCGCCAAGGCAAAAGAGATTGGTATGATGAGTGAAGGTTGTTTTTGGATCATGACTGATGGTCTGACAGCTGATTTGTTGAGTTCACAAAATCCTTCTGTTACTGGGACAATGCAAGGGGTACTGGGTGCTAAACCTTATGTTCCAAGTACAAAAGAGTTCCAAGATTTTCGAGATCGGTGGAAAAGGAAATTCCAACAAGATAATCCATATATTATTGATGCTGAGTTGAACATTTACGGACTTCGGGGCTATGATGCTGCGACAGCTTTGGCCTTGGCAGTTGAGAAAGCTGGAACTACAAATTTTGGCTTCCGAAAGGCAAATGTTTCTAGCAGTTCATCAACGGACCTTGCAACTCTTGGCGTCTCTTTCAATGGTCCAAGCTTTCTTCAAGCTTTATCAAACACTAGTTTCAAAGGTCTAACAGGAGATTACCATTTCGTTGATGGGCGGTTGCCATCTCCAGCTTTCCGTATAGTTAATGTGAATGGAATTGGAGGGAGAGAGATTGGATTCTGGACACCAAAAGAAGGACTTGTGAAACAATTCGTTCCTAGTAATGGTACGAAGTCGAATTCTGTGTTCGGTATTTCTACTGTAATTTTCCCAGGGGACACAACTGCTGTTCCCAAGGGATGGGGGATTCCCACAAAAGAAAAGAAGTTGAGAATAGGAGTACCGGTGAAGTCTAGCTTAAGACAGTTTGTGGACGTCATAAGATATCCTAGTTCTAACACCACCATAGTCACTGGATTCTGCATAGATATTTTTGATACCGTCGTCAAAAAATTGCCCTATGATTTGCCTTATGAGTATGTCCCCTTTGCCAAGCTTGACGGCCAGTCTGCTGGAACTTACGATGATCTGGTCTATCAAGTGTACTTAAGGGTAGAACTTAATTTTTATCTTCTTCTGTACTTATTCCATGTTTTTGATATTGGAATATTATCATACACATTGATGCCAGTCTTTTTTTTTTTGAGATATTCTTTCTTATGTATTTTATTTTACAACCAACAGAAATTTGATGCTGTGGTTGGAGACATTACCATTCTCTACAGCAGATCCTTGATCATCGACTATACCTTGCCTTTCATGGAAAGCGGTGTCTCCGTTATTGTTCCTATAGAAGGCCACAATATCGAAAATGCTTGGTTCTTCTTGAAACCCTTGACATGGGACCTTTGGGTGAGCAGTCTTTTATTCTTTGTTTTCATTGGATTTGTTGTCTGGGTTCTTGAGCACAGAATAAATGGAGATTTTCGAGGACCTGCTTCACATCAAACTGGCACTATCTTCTGGTTTTCCTTCTCAACGATGGTGTTCGCACAACGTAATTTCTCTTCTCCTGTTAAAACAATTGTGTGTGTGTGTGTGTGTGTGTATATATATATATATATATATATAAACACCTAATTGACTTTAATTTTATCAATTTACAGGGGAGAGAGTGGTTAGCAACTTGTCTAGAGTAGTGGTAATCATATGGTGTTTTGTTGTGCTGATCCTCACACAGAGTTATACCGCCAGTTTATCTAGCCTACTTACAGTCCAGCAGCTAAAAGTTACTGATGTAAATGAGCTCATTAAGAAGGGGGAGTATGTGGGCTACCACAAGGATTCTTTTATTCTACGAATCTTGTTAGGGTTGGGGTTCGACAAGTCCAAGCTCATTGCGTATAGTTCTCCGGAAGAATGCCTCGAACTCTTCTCCAAAGGGAGTGGAAATGGTGGTATTGCTGCTGCTTTTAATGAAGTGCCATATATAAAAGCATTTCTGTCAAAATATTGCTCCAAATATACCATGATTGATGCTACTTTCAAAACCGGCGGTTTTGGCTTTGTAAGCTCACTTTCCCATCTTTCTATTTCCATATCCCTCTATCACTTATTAGTCTATAATTTAATACAACCATTTTTGTTGTGAATTTCAGGTCTTCCCTAAAGGTTCTCCTCTAGTACCTGACATATCAAGGGAAATTTTGAATATGATTGAGGGAGATAAGATGAAGGAAATCCAGGATAAATGGTTTGCCAATCAAACTAGTTGTCCAGATTCTGGCACTTCCGTTTCATCTAATAGCCTTAGTATCAAGAGTTTCTGGGGATTATTTTTAATTGCTAGAGTAGGTGCACTTTTAGCTCTCATTATCTTCATAGCGATGTTTGTTCATCAGGAGGGGAGAGTAGCCTTGAGACCCTCTGATTCCACAACTTCAATATGGAGTAAAATTCGACATTTGTTTAGCATTTTCAATCAAAGGGACTTCACATCTCATATCGAAGTGAATGGGGTTCACCTTCCTAGTATGGGCACGGCAAGTCAATCGGGCAATTCAGCTCACACTGAAATTCATGGATATCCGTCCTCTGCAGGGTATGATACCAGTCGAAATAGCCAAGCACATCAAGTAACAAGTGCTGATCAGCTCACCAACCCAAATAAAGAGAGGCCTGTTAAGGAAAATCAGAAGTCTAAGGTTAATCATGAGGCCCCTCCGCGTACTGATCAAAGGTCCAATTCTATTCTTCATCAGAGGACTAATTCCTACTAGTACTCCTACTCCTTGAGATAACAACGGTCCGGCACAGCTACATTCTCGGTTTTTCTCGTTCTTATATGACTTGCTGTCCCATATAACTTAAAATCCAATGAACAAGCCTACAAGAGACCAGAAGGGGCTGCTCACTTGTACGAATTTGGAGAATTCCTTCTGTATATATATATATATATTGTTTCCTCCTCCAAGATCTTGATGAATTCCAATGTAAATGTGTTATGGTGGCGGCTAGCATGAATAATTGACATTTGTGATGCATCTTCAAGAAAATAAAATATTTATAACGAAAATTTGCCTGGTGATCAAATCACTTAAATGCTGTTTGATTATTAGGAATATTGAAAAGTAGGAATTCAAATAGATATGAAAAAATTAATTAGGATAACATTTTAATTCCAATACCTTGTTTGAAAGATTAATAAGAAATCAAAATAAAATTTAAAATTTTTAATATCTCATTTTTCAAATAAAAATGAATAGTGATTAAAAACATAATTTCCATAAATTAGGAGGGTACAAAAAAAAAGTATTGGTAAATTTTGGGTAACTTGCTCTCGAATATCATCTCTGTGTGCTGTACTCTTTGGTTTGTGTTTCCGATTGTAGATAGTGGGCTGTAGAATTGCCCCCTTTGTCACGATCCGAATCCTGGATCCATTATAGGCACATAGATAAGGTTCCCCTCCAAGGTTTTCATACCTATGCGAACCTAAATTTACACACAAACTTATCCTTCAAAACTCAATCAAAGTTCAACGCAACATTAATAATAAAATCAACTTCATAATATAATTGAATTGTCTTAATACAAGAGTTAATATAATTTCATAGTTTTGGAGCACTAACTAGACATAAAGAAAAATATACAAATTACAATCAAAAGAGCAGGTTCTGAAGGTTTAACAAAAGTGACCCGCTATCAAGTTATAAGTCTGGAAAGGATAAATAATGAGAGGGTGAGTTCAACAACTCAATGAGTAGATAACGTTCAATATACACACACGGGATAATACAGCAATGAGATATATATATACAAGTATGGCTTTAGGTTCTTATGAAAATGTTTCTCAAATTGGCCATAACAAGAAGATCATAAGGTAAAACTCGTCAGTAAATCAAAATGCAATGAGCATGAGGCTCCGTACTGTGGGATGATCAGTCCACACAGGTTGGTGACTCCCCCGACCAACTAGGGTTCAGATACGATGTGCACAAAGACTAACACTACCCTGTTAGCATGAGTATTCTGACTGACATACCATAAGTTCACAATCATAATCAAACAGACATATTCATATCTCAAGGCTCAACTCATGACATCAATCAAATGAGGAGCTATCAATTCATAAGTCAATCCAAAATACATACTGGTTCATATCAAGAATTCGGATTCAACGAATGATCATGCTTATCATAACAAGGATAATAGTCA